CCCAGTGACCCTCTGATTGGATCATTTTAGGCAGCAGGGTGACTAGAACTGACTTTGTCATTTTAAGCAATTTAGTCATTTGAGCGGGCTCACTGGAACTGATTGGGTCATTTTAGGCAATTCAGTTATTTGAGCTGAACGTTAACTCATTGGGTCGTTTGAGGCAATTAAGTCATCTTCACTGGTTGGTTCATCTAAAGCAGTTGGTTTTAATTGACTGATTGGGCCATTTGAGGCAATTCAGTCATTCGAGCTGGTTGGGTTATGTATCTAGAAATCACTTTTCTGGTTACAGTTTGTATCTAATTTCTCAGACAGTCATTCCTCCAATTCTATTGTATTAATTGTACTGTAAACTTAAAAGTTTTGCCTCTTGTTGGCTTCAGAGAGAAAAAAAATTTTGTAAAGTAAAATATGGCTGAGAAACATGATTGTTATCAAGTTCCGTTTTGGATTCTGAATAATTGTACTACTAACATCATTGTGCATTGATAAACTTGTTTAGAATTACTAAAGAGATGCTTATCCTGTCTGGGAGAGGGGAATAGGACAAAATGCTTTGAAAAGCGGCAATATAGATAGTTGAGTCCAGGAAGTGAAAATTGACGAACAGCCATTAACCGAGCGGCGGTAAACGAGGGAAAATGCACCCCTTGCACGAGTTCGCCGTTGCAGAAAATACCGGAAAATGCACACTTGCGACTGGTAAACTCTAGTCAACATAACGTTTGAATGCGCAAAACAGCTTTGAATGGCAAAATACATGTTGTTTTTAACCGAACAGCAATAAATGGTAAAACGCCAGAAAATGCATTTTAAAGAATTTTCTCGAATTCATCATTGCGAAAAAGCCTTGGAAAATGCATGCTTTCGATTGGAAAGCTCTTGAGAACATTTCGTGCACTGGGCGAAAAAGGGTTGCGAACAGAAGAAAACATATTTTCTATGGGTTATACGAACGGCAAACACATGAAAACATTGGATTTTCCCGTATTTACACACATTAACCTTCCCGGAAAATGTGTGTTTTAAGCCGTTAACTCCCATGAATACGTTGATGTTCACTCGGAAAATGCCATTGAACTCAAGGAAAACAAGCTGTTTGCCATGCGTTAAC